TTGAGGCAACAGCTTGGGGGTGGTTAAGTGGTTGGGAGAAGGATTTGTCTTGGCGGTGGGGAAATACATTGGCCTGTTTGGTAAAATTGGTTTGTTCAGGGTGAGGAATAAGGCTACATGCAAACAGGATCTGGGTAACCCAAGAGCTTGAAGGAGAGGGTCAGAGAGCTGGGGGAGTGTTAAACTGGTGATGGGAGGGTTGTAGAGACAGAGGCGGCAATGGCAGGGTCTTAGGGAGAGAAGCGGGGACTAGAGGGGTTGGGGATTGGGGACAGGGCAAGGCAGCAGGCGGAAGGAGGTCAGGGTGACAGGCAGAGGATGAGCAAGTGCTGGGAGCATGGTGACAGCGAGGGAGTACATGAGAGTGTACCAGAGGAGGCTGGTGCTGCCTCCCAGCCATCAGTACCTCTCCTCACTGCAGCCACACATATGTCCCAGCTGCTTCCATAAGAAACCTGACCGGTGCTCATGGAAAGCCCACTTATGCCCAGGCTTCCATCTGATGGCTCCACTGCTTGGCCAAGGCCTTGCTCCCGCCCTCCTACTGACGCTGTAACAGCCTTGCTGCTGCTCCCCTCTGCTGTGACCCAAAAGCAGGCTCCTTTTCTGCTTCTCCTCTCCTCCCGAGGTGAGCTGGAAAGAAGGTGGCGGTCATTGTCCAGGGTCCTTTGGGAGTGGGAATGGCTGAACTAGTTTGAACTAGCTGAAAACACAAAAAGCCGCAGGATTTACCTACTGGTCATCTAATCCCACCACTTAGGACAGACCCACTTGAAGTCACAGCGTGTGACAGAATGACCAAGCAATGAGGACAGGATTAGAGAGCCCCAAATGAGATTACGCTCCTTGGTGAGGACGCAAGCTGCTGGGGGCAGGGAAAAGATCTGTGTTGAGCGCCTAGCAGGGGTAATAAGACCAGATCCAATGTTCTGTCTCCTTAGAGAGTATCAAAAATAGACTCTCTGGAGAGAGAGAAAACACCCAAGCGAGCCAGCTGGGCAGACTCAGGGTACTTGGGACACTGACAGCTCCTCAGCCTGTAAAATGAATTGGAACAGGTTTGTGCCAGTGTTAGCACAACTGTGACTTCAAAACAAAACAGAGCAGGGGAAGGGAGCAGGAGGAAGGGGAAGAGAGACAAGCCTGCACTTGACTAACTTAAACTGTAGGCTATTTAAGACAGAAAGGGGAAAGGGCCAGGGGATCAAAGATAAGGAAGGTGTGGCTGTGCACAGCTTGCAGCTTCTTAGCCTGGGGTAAATATTTAAGTAGCAGCCTGTCACACATAGATGGTAATCAGAGAGCCAGCCCATCGTGCTGCATGGATGGATAAAAAGAATGAAGAGATGGGCCTTGCCCAAAGATCTTATCATAGAAGACAAAAGATCATGACAGATCCTGTGGGAGCACAAGAAGATCAGTTACCACAGCTCAGAGAGAGAGGAGAGGGCTACACACAGTGGGAGATGTCTTCAAGAACAGGAGCCTTTAGATTTAAGCTCATTTACTGAAAACAGGTCTCTACAGAGTACACTTTCAGTCCAGCATCTCGCTATGTATTTGCCACCAGAAGACGCTGACTTGCAAAGTCTGAGGGTCCCTTTCTTAACACAAAAGCATCTTTTCCTTGCCCATTAATCCAAGTGAAGCAGGAAATAAGACAGATCCTCACATTCACTTGCTGGTAAAAGCCATGTTTTCCATGGGAGCTGCAGGAGCTCAGTGCTTCTGAATATATGGTCATCTCTATAGGTTCCAATTTTAACATGATCTGTTAAAGGCTGAAACCCAATGAACCTGTTCAGGGCTCAGTTTCCTGTCTACACTCAACACTTATCACAGGCTAGCTGGATACCCTTAAATCTTGGCATTGGGAAAGCCAGGATATGCCTTAGAAATAGTATTCTCTTTCCTCCCTCCCTGGAAACTTCTCCCTAAGGACAGCACTGCGGTCTTGCCTGGCATCTGTCAGCTCAAAGTGTTTTCCAGATAATTAGTCACTTAAACTTCTCTCACGCAGGATAATCTAAGCTCTGTAATACCTCCTTCTCGAGTGAGCAAGTAAGGGCGTTGACATACATTTAACAGCAGCTGAAAACAAGGGCAACAGAAGCTGTTACCACCTGTACCGGCTTATATCACTCCTCTCTTGGAAACGGCTCCCTTCACAGCAGTGGGGACAGCTAAATGGAGACTTGTCCACAACCGACCCATCACACTTTGTATCCTGAATACCTGAGGAACCCCAGCACAGCACATCTGTACTGCACATGTCAGGCTGTAAATCGCAGCCATTCAGCTCTCCCTGCCTGAAAGACAACAAATTCAGTCTGAAAAGGGCAAGGGACAGCAGCTGCTTTAACTCTTCCTGACTATTACACCATGAAGAGTGTAAATGCATTAAGGGTGTGGTCCCATGAGCAGCAAAGCTAATCTGTCTGCTTCCCATGACCAGGAAGAGAAGATCTTGCTTTCCATTCCTCCGACCATACTCCTCACAATACAGTTCTGTCCCTTCCCTTGTCCTGGCTCAGGCACTCATGAGACACATTTGTGGGCTGGAAAAACATTATTCCCTTTCCTTCTCTTTCTGGATTAGCTCTCTGATAGATTAGAGATAACCTGAGGACATCCAAAGAGCTGGTGCACAGTAACCCAATGGGAGCAGGAGCATTACCCCATTTCAGCGGAGGAGACCTGTCAGATCAGCTCACCCTGTCTCTTGGATATGCACCCTGAGGCACACAGAAGCAAGCAACTTGCTGGAGGCCACATGCCAAAGTGGTAAAGGAAGTCAGGAGTCCTATTTTTCTTCACATATTTGGAGTTATTTAAATGTCGAGGTTGAAGCAAAGACAGGAATAGTCCTTGCTTTGTTATAAAATTCAGTCAATCAATCAATTAATCAATCCAATAACAACTTCTCAATCTCATCAATAGATCATTTCCACCTCCCCAAAGTACCGTGCAGGAAAGACTCTTCTGGTCCATTTACAGGTTGCGATATCTTAACTGTTTTCTCTCAAGTTAGGCTGGCAGATGTGCCATACAATGATACCACACATGTCACAGAGTTGCTTTCTTCCAGCGCTGAATGGGGAGCTTCATTAACTCATGCAAAACAATGGCTTCCTTGTACCCTGGAGACTCTTCTCCCTTCTACCCAGCTTCCCACTGCCACTGGAGAGACATTTCAAGGCAGTGAGATTCTTAAGAAAAACACCAGAAAAGCAGAGTAGTGGGAAGAAAAACTGTGGTGCTGACTGTTCATTCAGGTTGAAGAGCTGATGAAAACACTGTTGCAGTCCTGAGATAAACAGGTTGGCACTTGGTCTGGGCTGCTGCTGAGCTTCTCATATTCAGGAACTACCCAAACAGGAGCCAGAGTTCCTTTGGAATTCACACATAGTTTCCCACTCTGCCCTAAAAACAGCTCTAGCACAGAGAGTCTGCAGCACCATGTAGGAAGGGGCTCAGAGCAAAGGCAGCACTGCAAAACAGACATTCCCAGAGCCTGTTTATGTCCATGGTGTGACTTCTTTAGGCATATGCAGCTGCAGCAAAAGTGTTAAGTCTCATGGAGGCATCACACAAATGACGTTTTGTTGAGCATATAATACACAGCTTTGCCTTAGCTCCACGTTTATCCCAGGTTTCAGTCCAGGTTTGGGTTAGCCAGCAGTCCCTGGGTTAGCAGAGCCTCCCCACTGAAGAGCAACAGTTCAGGAGAAGAACTGAGCCAGGCCTGACAACCACAGTCTGCACAATGCTAGGCAGGGAAAAGAGAGGCAATTTTTGTTTTTTCTTTGGAACAGGATATAGCTTTTGCACATTTTTGTGATGCTGTCTGTGCATGGCATGCCTCAGGGGCTCCCCATTTTTATAACACCTTGCATTCAACATGCTTTATAGACTTTATGGTATTTGGCCTCCTAAGGATGTATTATACTTTTTGTAGAAGGTAAGGGCAAGACGTACTAAAATGATGTGCCTGAGGTCATATGAAAGGCATTTGACAGAGGAAAATAATTTCCTTCAACTCCCATTCACATGTTTTTCCTAATAGAAGTACTCACCTTACCCATATATTTCTACTATCCTTTTGCAAGAGGCATTGTGTCTGACTGCATGAAAGCCTGATCTTTTATACAAGTCTTGCCCCCAAACCACAGGGATATAGTCACTGTGCACATCTACCCTAAGCCATGATAATCCATGGCTAGAGGGCAGGACCACAAAATGCAGTTATCAAGTCCTTGCAGCTTTTATGCAAGCAAAACAGAGATAACAGCTTCAGAGGACACACTTAGTCAGATGAGACCACTCAGCCAATACCTACTCGTTTTCCAAAAGCAACCACTGCCACTTCCCATTCACTCCTACATAAACACGTCTCCAGAGAATGATATACCAGGTATATTATGTGTAAGCCTTGCAGATGAACTTTTAGCCTTCACAAACTTCAGATCGCATCTGCTTTCTGTCAGTACCCAAATTATAGGTCACTAGATAGTCCAGACTTCTCAACAATTCAGCGTAACAACTGAAAAATTGGGGTGCAGATGGCCTTCCCCTTCACCGCAGAAGGTGCTGACCAAAAGAAATATTTTCCTGCCAGGGTGTTAACCTAACATCAGCATCTTTCATGGAAACATGCTCCTGTTTTGACAGTGAAAGTGAAGAGCACAGGCTGTGATGAACAGCATTGCTAACACTGTCACCTGGGTACTGATTGGAAAATATAAAATTCAGCAGACGCCTGAGGCAGACCCTAGTTTTAATCCTTCATTTCCAATCTCCTGTTGGTTCACTAAGCACCACACTTACTGTCTTCATCCCAAGAGGCACCTGTGTGGCTGGTGAATGGGAGATTGGGAGGCATGATCAAAATCAGTGAGAGAATCCCTACCTTCACCATCTCTCCCCCTCAGCACTGTGGCTGCTGTTGGCAATGGATGCAGATGAGATGCTAATGTCACCATCCTGACCCAAACCTTTACCTTTGAAGCCGCCATGACGGCTGCCGTGGCTGCGACGTTCAGCCCCCGCTTCCCAAAGTGCACAAGGGCATCGTAGCTCCGGTCTTTTGCCTGGACGAGACAGTCATCGATCTCCTGTCACAGCAGACAACAAAACAAAAAAAAGCACAAGAAGGACAAGTTCAGAGTGCTCCCAGCCTCAAACTCTTGGCAGGGCCAGGTCATCTTTTAGGGAGGCTGACATCCTCCGTTTCCTCCACCTTGGCTGGAGAGAAGTTCACAGCCAATGTCTGCAAAGAGGAAAGGTTTGCAGGGGAGCAGCAACTCCCATTGCCGGCTTTGGGAACTCTTTATTCTGTGAATGGAAGATTGGGACCCAAAGTTGGGATACGCTTGCACAGTGAAACCACTACCAATAGGTCCTAGAAGCAAGACAGACACATCTACCTGGGCAGAATGGGCCAGAGTGTGTCAGGAGCCATTTGCAATCTATGGACTCTAAAGACAAATTGGATTGCCCCATAGTTAAAAAGAATCATATTGTGACACCGGACAGCTGCAGCTGTACTGCCCTGGGTCCAGAACTGGTGGTCTCACAAGTATCTGAGAGATCTCTGCACGTCACTGCAGTGTCCAGCTTCAACATGCCCATGGAATTGGTAGGTCCAGAGCTTCTGGACTTCAATGCTGCTCAGTATACAGTGAAATGGTTACGAAAGGTCCTGCCTTCACCCTCCCTCCCTCAAGACACAGGGGCCTGGATGATAATGGATGACAATGACTTCTAGTACTCAGCTACTGGATGGGCTAGGTTAGTAGGGACTGGAGGCTGTGAGAAGCTGCTGGCTGTTCAGCGATTCCCTCCCTATTCCCAGTAGATAAGAGGTGGCAACCCAAAATGCACGAGCACTACTTATGAGAAGCATAAGCAGAAGCTTCCAGGAAGCAGAGAGACAGGAGACTGATCCCCACTGTCCTTCTTGGACAGGACTGAGATACAACTGTTCATGCACTGCCTGTTGCTAAACAGGGATCTTTCACTTCCATAGTTGCCAATGTGGGAAACAGTTATTCACTTCTTAGTAGTTTGCATATTGATATGTGACTGATAGCTATTCTTGGCCCTTGTATCCACAGGAGCCAAATGGATCTGCCTGACAATGTCCCATTCACAGCCACAGGAATCTCCTAGGCAGGCAAATGATCCAAGCTGTAATGCTCACCCCCCAAATTAGCATCATGAATTTGAGCAAGACATTTCTCAACCCAGGACCTCAACATGCTACATGCCTTACTTCAGCATGCTAAACGTCTCCTGGCCAGGCAAGTGCTTACTAAGCCCCTTTCAGACAGGCTTGGCTATTTGTCTCATCACTGCACAATGTTTTAGGCAGACCTGGAAACAGAGTTATGGAGCCCTGGCTGCCAGACCCTGTTTCTCTAATTCTATCCAGCCACAACATAGCGCTCCAGCTATATTCAGCCAGTACGCACAAAGCAGCTCAGGAGGTATTTTTATCCCCCTCCCTCCCGACTTCTCAAGTGCACAAAGATGAGTTAATATGTGTGAGCTGAACAGAGGCCAGTATTTAAAAAACACAACAACCACAAAGAACAAAAACACCAACCAAAAGGAGATGATCAAATGATAGAGGAAGACAATCAGCAACTCCCAGTCCTTCAATGAAAATGAGTGATACGAAGACTGGAGTAAGCACATTGTAGATCTGCTCCACCCAGAGAGGACCTGGGCACCGGTGATTACCTTTTCTTTTGAAGACAGTGTTGGATGAACAAATTTCCTGTACAGGAGGCTGGAGCCTTTTGTGTATGGAGACAGCAGCCAAGCTACAAAAGCTATTTTGAGTTCATAGTAGAATGGAAACCTAGAAGAAAAAGAGCTGTTAATGTCTGCTCCCAATTTAACCACTGCCCTTAATTAGAGATGCTCAGCACAGGAAAGGACTGGCCAGTCTAGCCTAGGGCAGCTTTCCCTTACCAAAGAATTCAAAGACCAAAACACATTCCCTCATCTTTGCACACATCTCAATTAGGCATATGGGTAAATCTTTACTTGGGTACCAGGGCTATTATTTAATGGTCTGGAAGAGATTCTGCTGTGTGGTAAGAGGAGCTTTCTACCTGCAAAGAGCACAGATGCTGCCTTCATAGTCATTATGAGGGAGCAAAATGCAAACCAGCAAATCAGTATTTCATTGATATATTTATGCACCTTTCATCACTCTGCCTTTCTGCTTTTCGGATAACACTTACCTGACTGAAACTGAAATACAGGAACCTTTGTTGTCCAAGCAACATGCAACAGAAAGGTGCAGACCCACACTGTGGCTTTCAGATAGCACTGCAAAACACGCAGGACGCGAACTAACAACGGGACATGCTTTAGCTGTGACAACAAGCCAGGGACTTGTTGAGATTAGATTATCCAGACACTTTTCTGGAGGACAAAGTCCAGAGCTCAAGGCTGGCCAGCTAGCAGCATCCTATGCACACAGGCATGTTGCTGCCAGCAGTGTGATGAACCAACGCTAACCTTTGTAGGCAGGGGAAAGCAAGAGCAGCACAGAGACCCTTGATGGCTGTAACCCAGACAGACTCCTGCTGTGCTAGCACAGCACTGTCACCAAGACAGCTGGGCCACACAGCATCCAGGGCTGACCCCATGGGCCTCTGCGATGCTCTACTCTGAGTATGGATTTGCCACGTTGGTCTTCCACCTCACTGAGGATCTCTACTGCATACTTGATTTCACAGGCTGGACAAGCCCTCTTGTCATTCCTCCCAAGACAGTCACATAATACATCCTCCAAAAAAACAATGTTCCAGAGGAACACAGTGGAGGTATATCTGCATGCAAATGAGATAGAGAGACAATAACGTCTTTTATCTCCTTTTCAACAGATCAACAGTGTTGCCAAGTAGCCCGACTCCCTTTGTCTGGAGGACTCACTAGAGGCATGCAGTGCTATGCAGGAACAGGCTTTGTGTGAGGGCCATGCACTATGATTAAATTTTCATCCTGAAGTCTACTGATCTCACTGGTTTCCACTAGAGAGGCCTTACTAAAAAGGGCAATCAAGCAACAAACATTTCCAAACTTGAGCATCCAAATTTAAGCAACTGAATCTGATAATTGGGCATTTACGTGCTCTCATCCTGATAGAGGTCCCCAGGAATCCTTCCACCGGCACCAGAGAGCCCCCATCAGTATGGGCTGTCAATGTCAAACATCAAACTGTAAACCCAGGATTCCTATCCAGGAACGGGTCTGGCAAAACATCCCAAGAACAACCACCCATGCAGCAACCTACCAAGTCCTGCCAAGCAGGGCTGTTTCTGCCTGATCCCTAGAGTCTGCGTATTTACTGTAGGACTCAGCTAGGTAAGTCTAGAACTATGCTTGCAGCTAAAACTACTGTTGTCTACATGACGATCTCTGCAAGCATCCAACTCGGCAATCAGCTGCTCCTCTATCTGACAGGCAGGGGAATGAGACTCCTGTAATGGCTTCTCACTAATGAGATATCACTGAGCAGTTCCGTGCTCTTTCTTGCTTTTCTTACAACAGCACTGAGAAAGGCAGCACAGCTCCTCCAGAAAAAACACCTCTCTGCACCTGAAGCTGCTAACCCCAGGTTCAGGAGGCAGTGCAATTTTGTGTCCCTTTTTTGCCCTTGTAAACATTTCCATTTGCTTTCTATCTCATACCAAAGACCCCCTCCCACCCAGTGCTCACCAGCAAAGAAAGATATCCGTGAATGTCTCTGCTGTCGTGAAGAGCGCAAATATGATCCAGTACATCATCCATTTGACCTGGTAAACAAAAAGAGTAGCTGGGTCAGTTTTCCCCAAGGGCTTTGAACTATCTCTTACAGGCACAAGTGCACAGAATACCTCTCACAGGGGAAAAAAGTTTCTTCCCCTCCATGTATTTAACAATTACTATGGACTTGAAGATGCCAGAGCTCCCCCCAGCACATAACACACGTCAGATTTCCACACAAGCCCTTGGGAAGGAAGATTGTGGCCTTTAGGACTGGTCACATGAAAAGAAGAGCAGCCTGACGCTGTCCCCACAGAGAAAGCTCCACTGGCCAGCGAGGACCACAGCCCTATCACAGGGCATTGAAAATCTCACTTGCTACATCTTAATAGCAAAGGTTAATACAATAGGGTGTTGGCCAACTTGGAATTAACACAAAATGTAATTGCTTACATAATACCTATAGCCAGGGGAAACTAGCCCATCCCACAATCCAGGGCTCAGGAGCACAATCAACTCACTGCAACTTATTGAATTAGCGTGCATCAGTAGAGTGATGGTGCCTCCTCGCATCCACACCCTGAGCCCATTGCAGCAACAAGGGCGTTACCTTAAATCTCTTACATAGGGCTTAGGTGAGAGCATTTTACCTCATATTGGTAGTGAAAGCACGTACTGTGCTGTCGCTGTGTTCAACAGTGGTAACTCCACTGTGGGGTGGACTGCTTGGTACGTGATTTATGGACAGTCTCCTTTGCAGTGACAGCGACACAGAAAGAATCTTTGGGGACTCCTCTTCTGTGGCACTGTCACCACAGAGATGATGTAAGGAATAATTTCCTTTTTCTCCTACTGGAGATGACAGAGAAACATTTTATTCTCCTTAAATATTTTTTTTCCCATTGTAAAATTCTAAAACTTAAGAATTGTAAAGCTTTAAGAATCTGTCTCTCCAAAGGAAAAGAGATGGTAAGACAAAAGTTGTTAATTTAACTGAAAATTGTTGTCTAATTAGCTATATTTGAAAATGGAGATCCCTAAGCAGCTTTGGAATGTTAAAAAGCTTGAGGAAGTAAAATCCATGAAAATCCATGAATTAGAGAATTGGACCGCGTTACTTAAGGCTGGGATAATTGCAATAGAATAAGGGAAGGCCGGAAAGAAGGCAGTACAAGAGGGGTACCCACAGCAGGTGCTGCTCTGGGGAAGGGAGGATGGAGGTGGCACTAAATCTGGATCTCACCAGCTCTGAAATGGCTTGCTCCCATCTCCGCCCCGATGCAGTGGGGACAGTACCTGTAGTTTCTCTCCATCTCCCTGCAGGTACTGAAATTATTCCCTGAGCACCTGTCACTCAGCTATATAACTACTGCCCTGGGATTTATATGTATGTTTATATTTATATTTAGTGTTACAGCAGTAGAATGGCACTGCCAAATGCCCAAGAGCATTGTCTTCCCAGGGCAGCTTCAGCCAGACTTTTTACATAATCGCGACTCCCTCAAAGCCTCACTGCCAGCACCGTTCTGTCAGTTAGATATTACTGCCAGCAAAACGTTTAAACACAAACTGAGATCTAGTGCGGATGGGCTTGAATCAGCCTAAACCATCATTTATCAAAATGACTATTACCAAGCAGAATAAAAATAAACTAGTCATATAAGTTTTGACTAGTAAATGAAGGTTTGTACTGTGTCAGTGTAAATTACTACTACTAAATTTTTTTTTTAATCAGACCCCTAACAGACATATTGCCACAACTGGTGTGTTAAATGGAAAAACAATTTTAAGCGCAGACCAGGTCTTTGCTCAGCCATTCCCACATTTGGGTCATTAGCACATGTGTCTGATGTGAGTTCCTGTTTTGCAATTGAATTTCCAACAGGAATTGGACCCTTCAACAAAATACTTTCCAGAAAGGAACTATGGAAATACTAAGTATCAGTGGCAGACACTGCTTGGGGATGCTAGTGCACTTCTTCAGCATTTCCAAGCAAAGGGTGTACAAACCTTCAAAGCACAGCTGTGCAAGGGCTGCAGGGACATTTTGCCTTAAGTATTTGATGTGTTTGTAACACTTATGATTTTCAAAATATCCAAAACCATTATATGAAGGAGGGGACTGATAGAAAGGAAAAATCTCAGCAGCCACAGTGAGTCCCAGTTTGAGCTTGCGCTAAGGACTTAATGGGATAGCCATCTACACCGTTACCCAGGGGAGAAAATGGGCTTGTTATCCCTGGGATCTTGAGAAACTGAAGAGTCAAGATCTGGAGGCTAAGCCGGGTTCAGTGAAGTTAACAGAGCTCACGTTGTGAAGGGCACTACAACTCCTACAGAACCCCAACAGCATCTAAGTGGTTTTGATTCTCCCACATTTCACTTTCCCCAATGGCCCTATATGCCTTTAGAAACTGGGGCCCAGGGAAGATTTTTCAGCAAAAGGACAAGACAGCACACCCGGTTGCCAGGCCTGCCTGTAAATAGGTCGCTCCATAAGAAAGGATGTTTCTATCTGAGGATTCAGTCATATGTGCTTCGAGTTGCCTCCTCTGATCCTTGTTTTGAATGAGCAGCTAAAGCTTCAAGGCTTTTTGAAAAGGCTTTGATTTGATTTATGCTGCTCTTCAGAAACAAAGGAAAACACATAAAGCTCTGGATGCCAAACACCTTTTAAGTCAGCTGTATATAGCTTGCACCACCAGAGAAATAGCACGCATTTGTCAAAGAGCACATCAACTCTGCAGAGCAGCCAGAAGCACAAATCCCAGTCTCCTTATTTGGGACTTACGCCTAGCAATCAGCCAGTCCACCTTCAGGCCACTCTTCCCCTCGCACTGGTTTACGAGCTTTCCCAGAATACAGGGAACACTTTTACAATGTGGTGAGGAGTAATCTTACAAAACAAACCCTGCAGCACAGCCACAAACCTCCTTACTCACATATTCTTTGATGTCCTTTGATTTCACGGCTTTGTAAGAATAATATGCAGGGTAAAGAGTCCCAAATATAAGCCTGGAAAAAAAACAAACAACAAATGGATTAAATTGATTTCCTGTCACAGAGAAAGATATTTTTTTCTTGTCTGTTAAATGTGTTTCTTGCACTAGCGAAAAGTGTTAGGACTTGATTTAAGCTTGAGTGCACTAAGTACAGTACAGGAGTGATTTTGCATCACTGAATTCAGAGAAACTACTGCCAGTGACATGAATGAAGAGCAGGGATTCAGGTTGACTTTCCTTTTGCAATGGTTTCCGTGGCTGTACCTTATGAGTTATACACAAAACAAAACAACCAAACTAACAAAAACCAAAAAAGGCCACCACACTTTAAAAAGGAAATTAAAAACCTGATTTTAAAATAATCTACTCTAACACCAGGAATATAGGAATATTGCTTTCAGAGGCAGGGCAAAATGAGAATCATTTGTCTAAAATCCCTTCCACCTCTATTCAATACTCTGAAAAGCTGGCAGAAGATAAAGCAGCATCCAAGTTCTACAGGGGAACAGTTTGAATGCTGGGGCCTTATCCTACATTAAATCTGTTAAAGGGAAGAACCCTGCACTGTTCAGTAAAGTTGATTTGGGCTAATCAAAGGAGGAGAAGATATGCCAAGAGGATCAGGCCTAAAAATCCCAGCTCTACTGTTCTTTCAGACAGTTTCCTTTCATTTTCAAGTCTGAAAAGGATGCTGTCAGATTCAAGATTTCATGTAAGAAAGGAATAAGGATCTGTAAGTTAAAAATAGCACCACTGAGAAAAAAAACATTGAGAATTTTTTATACTAACTCCTTGCTGTGTCACTGCCTAGCTGTTTATTCGCTTCGATTATTCTGGACATAAGCATAGGCTTGTCAAAACCACTTTGCCCTGCCCAGGTTTCAGTCAGTTTTATTCAATGCAGTAGGATGATGCTGCAAAGTCTGAATTTAATAGATTGCAGGGGAATGTTTATTGGCTTGCAACTACCCCTCTTTCCACTGGAGCTTTTGCTTTAAATTCATACAGCTGTTTCCACTGCTCTTGGGAATGGAAATGATCAATGTTTCAATCCCTAATTGTGGAGCCACATGGACCCACAGTCGTCTTTTCCATCCTGCCAGTAGCGATTGTGTGCCGTGGGACTCATAATTACAGTTGAGTCCATTATGTGCATAAGACATTAAAAATTAACACTCTGGGATATGGTGTACCATCGTACTTCCCATAGCTCAAGAAGGTATTTGTGAAAGAATGGGGTGAGCCAGAACACATCTTGATTTCCAAAGCAGTGACCGAAGACAATTTGTCTGCTATTCATCATGCTTACTGTAGCATAGCTTAGCAAAACCTGAAGCACAATGCAGACTTCAGAAAAGCAGCTACTGAGTGAGGAGATTCAGTATTTTACAGAGGCTTCACACTGGCTTCAAAAAGCTCTGCTGGAAACAGTCAGCTCTGAACCTATTTCACCCACAGGGACTGTGCTATATGCAGGGATTAGATACAAACGCTCAGAAAGATTCTGGGAAACCAAACGCATTTTTGCGCCTTGCAGCATCTTAAGAAACAGCAGCACCGATTAAAGCAAGGAGGAACACACAGACAATAGCTTGATCCTGTTCTCACTGAAGCTAATAACAAATATTCCCTCTGAGTTTAACAGTAGCAGGACCTAATCCAATGCAGGTAGAGCTCACAAAAAGAAGAAAGCTCCACAGCATTCAGAAACTAACAGCTGAGCATGTGGATAATATTTTTGGCTCTACTTATAAAAAGTACCACATTTTGTCCTTCCTTCTTGGCCGGGGCTGGCTGCTATCTCACGCTTTTACTTCCTGCAAATAATCACTGAATGACTGATATTCATTTCCTCAGTTTGTGCTGGCAACAGAAAGTAACTGGATCCTGAAGAAGCAAACAGTTTACAGGATCACTAGAAAAGAATTAGTTGCAGACAGCAAACACTTGAAAAAAAATTCCTGTGAGGGAAGGAAACTGTGCAATACTTTTGCATATGCAGAGCAAGGGACAGTTAATAAGGTGATGTGGTCTCCCTAAACTGGAGATTGAGAGTTTCACTAATTTGCCTTGTAGCATGTTGTGTGCATATATGGACATTTATTACGGTTATTGTTTACCAGACTGAAAACTGTTTTAAGGAATCTTGGATCTCAGTCTCATCACTGCTGTGGCTTACTATGTGGCTTGGAGTCACTTAACCTCTGGGTATACCCTACAAATAGAAGACGAAAGATGTTCAGGCATTTTTGTAAAGCATATTCAGAGTTTTGGAGACAAATATCTGCACATAGGCATATTCGAGAAAGACTCTTGAAGTTACTGTCTTCACCAGGCTTTGGATCAGGCTTGAGTACAATTGATTTAATTTAAACATACATGTCAACCCGCTAACTCTTCCCTCAGTTCCTCTCCCCTGCTGAAGACAATGCTTCTCTCTCCCCCGTCATCCAAGCTTCCCCTGTAATTAAAGTTATTGTTGATTCCTGCTTTCCTTCATCCCCATGCTCGACTGTTGCCAAATCACTCCCTCTGCACTCTATACACAAAACCAAGGCTGACTCTTTGTCCCTCTGCCCAAGCCACTAAGTCATTCCTTGTTTAGGTCTCATTTCCAGCCTCCCTGGTGTGCTTTACCGATCTCTGCCCCACCTGGACGCACCAGTGTTTACATCTCTTCCCCCGCCTCTCATGCACACACACACACGCACGCACACAGAGGTTAGCTACCCTTGCCTACCAAGCTGAAGTAATATTCTCATCCTTGCTTTCCAGTGCCTGAAAAATGTGGTTGCTCCTACCTACTGTTGGTTTTGTCTTTTATCACATCCCACCTCAGTCCCTTCTCTCCTTTAGTGACTGTAGTGCCACGAGCTTCTTACTCTGCTGTTCCTTGTACATCTTCTCCCGCACCCTGGAGCTTCTGTGTTCCTTGCTCCTCCATTGCATATAAGCCCATCACCTCTAAAACAAGCTGTTCCCTGACAGTTATCCTGACAGCACACAGTCTGAGAGGTAGCAGCCCAAACCACAACTGTGTAATTCCCCTGTTCCTCCTCATCTCTCTAATTTCTTCTGCAACACTCCAGTGATCTCTGAACCACACCACAGGACCTTCGGCTTTCCTCCACACATCCCCAAAAATCACAGCACAGACCCTCAGTTCCCTCCCACAACTGCCAGCTGACCTGGGAACCACACGTGCTATGACTCCTTCCATGGTACATGCATTGACTGCCTGATTGATGCCAGCCAGCTGGCAAGCCAAATTAATGACCTACCTATGGAGTTAACACTGCAGCTTTTACCTCCTGGTGCACACTCCTATGAATCAATCTCCTATCCAGCAGCTAATTCTTATGAATAATGTAGAAACTTAATATTTGAGACCTCTCTGACGCATCTATTTTGGCCACAGTCACTTCGTGGATCTAAAAGCTAGCAGCAGTGGAAAAACAAGACTGCTTAAGCCTCATTTCCTTAGGAAACCAGGCTACAAATTCAGGGTCAACCCACTCCGCACCCATTTCCATCTTTCAAAGCTCCTTTGAATGAGCTATGTACCCTGGAAAGCCTTGGCTCTTTTACCCTCTGTGCAAAAGCAGAAGCAGACATCCTGATCAGCAAACCAGGGACTCCCAGAGCTTGATGTAGTAGTTGCTACATTTAAAGCTACAGAGATGTGTTCCTACAGTCCGGGCTAAAACACACACACACCCCCTCAGGGAACGGGGAAAGGCAAGGAAGTAGTGACGTTCATCAGTGAGTTAGGAAAAGCTCACTTGCAGCACTAAACAAATATCCACAACAGTCTAGTAATTCTTACACTGCTCCATGCTGGAGGTCTACATCAATTACAGTCGCCTTGGAAAAGGACAAAACAGCAGCTGTAAAGACATCACTGAAGAGTCAACTAATTGTGCAACAGAAGGCAAAAATCTAAGTAAAAGGTTAGTCTTCCTAAAGAATAGGATAAGGATTAACGCTGAAAATCTTATAATCCTATTAGGCACAGCAGCAGCAGCAGCAATCCTCAATCTGGACCACTACACGTGCTTCTGGTCATTCTTTGTCAAAAGGGACACGGCAGAGGCAGAAGGGGAAAGGAGAAGGGCAACAAAAGTGTGTGGAAGCACACTGGGAAACATCCACAGGAACGCCGGTAACTGCTGCAATTGTTTCTTTTGCAGCAAAGACAAATAACAATTTGCTCCTACTCCTGATGTAAGGGGATGTTCAACTGAATCAAGTGAAAAAAATCAAAAAGGAGGGGAGAAACTCTCTCTATCACCAGGAGTTCATCTGTGGAACCAACTAACCATATTTATTTATTTATATAATTACATTACATAGGATTTGGGGTTTGGTTTTGGTTTTCCGTATTCAGTTTACTGCTAAATGAGACAGGAAAGAACAACGCTTCCCATATTGTGAGGTTTCCTGATTATCAGGGGAATATTAAAGCCAACTGAACTGTTGGCTCCTCTTTAGCCATCTGTGTCATATTCCAGGGGAACAGCTGCACCATCACCAAACCTCCTTCTGTCTCCACTTACCAGTACAGCCACAGCCAGCCCTGGCTACTATATCCTTCTGTTCCTTCTCCAGATCTGCTGGCGCAGTGATCTGACCATCACAGAGCACAGGCTAACCCAGATGTGACAATATTCCTAACAGCATCTAGGTTATAGCCTGAGGATCAGCATCAGAGCTGGTACCAGGACCTGGGAGGGCTCCACATGACATCTTGAGCTCTGATGGGTTGGTGATGCTATTTTCCTCATGAGAGGTCTGGTCCTCCAGCCATTTACCTGTAAAATTAACTCTCACATTCCATACTAAGCCACTGAAATACATGGAAAGACTGTCAGCAATTCTTGGGAGTACTGGCCAGGACTCAGGTTACCTCCAGAAATGTCTGCATATCCATTCTCTTGAGTATTTTTAACCACACAGGTATTTTCTGGATGGTAACCTACTGTTACAAATATACCAGCATGGTGCCGT